GATGCTAAGACTTCATTATGGGAAGATGAAAGCCCTCAGGCCCCTGGCAGGAAAGGCTGTGTGTGTTTGAGGTTGCCTGCCAGAGCATGCAAACCTTACTTGTGAGTTTGGTAATAGTGTGACCACGGCTCAAGATTTTTCTTTTATTTTTTTTTTGAGACAGGGCCTCACTCTGTCACCCAGGCTGGAGTGCAGTGATACCATCATGGTTCACTGCAGCATCCACCTCCCAGGCTCAAGCAATCCTCCCACCTTAGCCTCCTGAGTAGCTGGCACTACAGGCATGTGCCATCACACCTGGCTAATTTTTTTTCTTTTTGGTAGAGACAGAGTCTCCCTATGTTGCCCAGGCTAGTCTCAAACTCCTGGGCTCAAGCAATCCTCCCACTGCAACTTCCCAAAGTGCAGGGATTACAGGTGTGAGCTGCTGTACCCAGCTCAAGATTTCTCTTTAGTTCTGAGATGTGGCATTACCTCTTGGGTGCAGAGGCATAGCAGCCTTATGTTTTCTTTCTAATCAGGGTTAATTCAGAGCTTGGACCTAAGAAAACCCAAAAGGCCTTGTATTCCAGCCTCTCCGTTCTCCATGTAATGCTGACTCCCCAGAGCATTCCAAACAAAGCTGGCTCCTTCACATGCCCTTCCTTTCCTAGAAGTCTTTCTCCATCTTTGCACGGATCTTTAGAAAGCTCTTCCTGGAATCTGTCAGGCACTGTGAGGGGGAGGTGCTTTTTCATATCTATGCCTTTGCTTTGTAAGTCTGCTACACCCTTCCCTGTCTTGTTCATCAGGGCAAACTCTTATTCCTTCTTCAAATCCCAGCCCCAGGTCACTTTCTCCATAAAGCCTCCCCTATGTCCTGAAGACTGAATTGATTCCATTTCTCCCCTCCCCACCCCACATCACTACCACCACAGATACTCCTGAGGGTACTACCCTGGCTGACTCATCTCTCTATCTTTAGTGCCTAGTTCAGGGCCTGGCCAAGACAGGAGGCATGAATGAACGAATGAATGAGAAGGGAAGGAAGGAAGATCTCAGATCACTTTTATACAGCAATAGCCCTTGTACCACCCTCTGCTCTCTGACCCAGGTTCCTGATTTTTCTAAGCATTTTCTATTCCTGATCTTACTGGATCCTCACGGTGGCCTCCCTGTGGTTTAGGGTAGGGACCCACACCCTGATTGGCAAATGAGGAAGCTGAGGTTCCAAGAGGAGAAGTGACCCGCACAAAGTCACCTCAGAACTCCTGTGGGAGACCTAACTGCCTCCCTCCTTCCTCTCTTTGCTTTCCTCAGCTCCTCCCACTGACTCATTTCCCTTAGGGCTACAAGAGCAGAGCTGAAATTCCTGGTGGGATCTGAGGGCTTTGGGAGGCCTGGAAGTCGTTCCTGGGCAGTGAGGTGTGAGGATGAGTGCATGCAAGCTCCTCTGTGTGTGTGTGTGTGTTGAGGAGGCTTGGCACTGAGATGTCTCCTATGTCTCCCTCCCACCTCCTTCTCCTGAAAGAGGGATGGGTGCCGTGTGTCCCCGCAGTGTCCAGGCGGGACTAGTCATTAGTCATATCAGCAGATATGGGAGGAGGGGCGGAGGCTGCAGTGAGTGGAGATCGTGCCACTATACTCCAGCCTGAGTGACAGAGCAAGACCCTGAATCAAAAAAAAATTAAAGAATATTATATATTCTTGATTATATGGTATGTATGATTGGAATGTTACATACCATTCTTACAGTGTGTAAGGATCATATAGTATATTTCTTCGATTATGCTATTATGTAAAAAATACACAAAAGTATATATTTCTTTGACTATATACAATTCTTTGTAACATACTATATGATTCCAAGAATATTATTTCAATATTACTATATTATTAATAATATTACATACTATTTATATATAACATTAATATATGATATTATATAATATTAATGTTAATATATAATATATATTCTTAGAGTCATATGGTATGCAACATTTTGGAATTGGATACATTTCATAATTTCTTTGAAGCCTTTTCAAGTGTCAGTAATGTGTTCTTTCTATTGCTATGCAGGATTTTATGGTATGGATAGTCTATGGTTTGTATACCTTTCACCTGTTGGAGAGCATCAGCATTGTTTCCACATTTTGACCATTACAGATGACTATCATGAAGATTTGTGTCCAGGTTTTGTGTAAATATGTCTTCATCTCTCTAGGATTAATGCCCAAGAGTGTGACTGCCAAGTTGTATGATGAGTGTGTTGTTTATACAAATTATCAGACTGTGTTCCAGAATGGCTGTGCCCTTTGCATTCCCACCAGCTATGCACAAGTGATCCACTTCCTCCATTCTTGCCAGCGTTTGGTGTTGTCACTATATTTTAGCCGCTATGGTAAGTATGTAGTGTTATATCACTGTGGTTTTAATTTGCATTTCACTGATGGCCAATTATGTGGAACATCTTTTAATGTGCTTATTTACCTTTTGCATATTTTATTTGGTGGAATGTCTGTTCATGTTTGTTTGCCCATATTCTGATTGAGATTTTGTTCTTTTTACTGCTGAGTTTTGAGAATTCTTTATACATACTACATTTAAGTTCTTTGTTGGATATGTGGTTTGCAAGTATTTTAACCCAGCCTGTACTTTAATTTTTCATCTTCTTCACAGGTTCTTTTACAAAACAAACTTTTAAATTTTGATGAGGTCCAATTTATCAATTTTTTTCATTTGTGGAGTCTGCTTTTGATATGAAATCGAAACATCCCTTTGCCTAATCCTTGAATTTAAAGATTTTTCTCCTACTTTTATCCTAAAAGTTGTATCATTTTGTTTTACATTTAGGTCTGTGATCCATTTTTAGTTAATTTTTTTATAAGATGTGAGCTGTGAATCAAAGGTTTTTAAAATTGTTTTTGCCTATGTGCAGCTTAATTTTTTTTTCTCTTTTTTTTTTTGAGATGGGGTCTCACGGTACTGCCCAGGCTGGTCTCTAACTCCTAGGCTCAAGAAATCCTCCTGCCTCCACCTCCCAAAGTGCTGGGATTACAGTTGTGAGCCACCTCACCTGGCCATGCAACTGAATTTTTAATGGCTGCCAATATTCTGTCCTGAGACATGTTATAAGTTACTTATAGCCATGCCACTGATGAATCTTTAGAATGTCTTCAATATTTTTGTTCTTGTAAGTAGCAAAATAAGTATTACTGTAGCTAAATCTTTTACATATCCATGATTGTTTCCTAAGAAAAGTATTACAGAAGTGGAATTGCTGAGGCAATTTTTAGGGCATAGGGAACAGATTGCCAAATTGCTCTTCAGCAAGGTTTGTGCCAATGCTGTGTTTCAAGCTGGGTATGAAACAGCCTGTTCTTCTCCAAGCTAGGGACTGCCTCCTACATATCAAACAAAACAAAATCCTTAGTATTTAAATGTGTATTTCTTTGGTTACTAAGGACCAGTATGGGGGCAGCCACAGGGGTATTTTGGGTCCCTGATGCTCCTCTGTGCTTCTGAGACAGAATAGGGTCTGGAGGCAGGGAACCTAAGGCTGATTCATGCTGACTTTCTAGAACCAAATCAAATGGAAACACTTCAGCTAGGACAGGAAACATCCTCTCCATTTACACAGGGCATACAGCAAGTATCCAATGGAAACCTCTAAAGGGTATTTAAACCCCAGAATATTCTGTAATGGGGCCCTTGAGCCCTATGCTTGGGCCCGCTCCCACCCTGTAAGGTGTACTTTCATTTTCAATGAATCTCTGCTTTTGTTGCTTCATTTTTTCCTTGCTTTGTTTGTGTGTTTTGTCCAATTCTTTGTTCAAGACGTCAAGAGCCTGAACACCATCAACTGGTAACATATTTTGGTGAACCAGCCAGGAGATAAGCCCAAAGTTTGGGATTTATTTTTCTCCTTTCTCCTTTCCTTTCTGCTCTGTACAGGGGAGTCTCTCTCTCGTTCTCTCTCTCATTTTCTCTCTCTCTCTCTCTCTTTTCCTTTCCAATTTGGGGCCCTTGGTTAGCACCTAAACACAGAGGCAACTGCAAGCTTCTGGCCGGGGCTACTCTGAAGAACAATTTTTTATCTTTTCCAGTTGTGGTCCCTGATCCCTACATGTGGTGCAGCTCAGGGCGAACTCACATGAGTTTCAGGTGACTTAAACTTTCTTTTCTTAGGCGAAATTCTCCCCTTTTCCTACTCAACTGGCTAAGGGCCAGTTTCACCAAAGTTTTAGGTTACTAAGGATAAGAATTCTAGTTAACACATAATTCTGTATACAATATGTGTCAGAAGGATAATGCTATTAGTGAGAAAAAGATTAATTTTGTGTAATTCAGAAGTTATCTAAATGGTGATTCAAATTACAGATTTGAAAAGGTTATTTATGAAACAATGTAGTAAAGAACTAGTAAGTAAGGAAGAAAGATGTGGATATGTTTAGATAATAAAATATTCTTTAAAATCTGATAGAGAATTGAAGACATTTGGCTAATTAACATTTTCATAGTTAAGGCTCTTAGTCTTGATTAAAATAAATATTTTAAAGAAATGCATTGGCAGTTTGGCAATTCTTTCTCTAAATATAGTTAAGTATGAAGCTGGATTTAGTGTGGAGCCAAATTTCACACACATGCTTGCATTGCTTCACACTGTTTACTGTTTTGCATGGATAGTGCTGATATTGGAGTGGTCATGTGCCTAAAGTGAATTTCTTGATTGCACAAGACGTATGATGATATTGGTGAAGTTAAGGATACTGAATTGTGTATCAGGAATAAAATATTCTTTTTTTGGTTTTGGGGGGGCTCTGGATAACACTGTAGCCTCCAGGGTAGATTGAATAGGAAAAATTCAGGGTTGGTTTCCTGCTAATTTGTTTTTGCTTCTAATTTTCCTTTGTTTGCTGTTTATTCTCCTTTGGCTTTGCTTGTGTATGCATATATATAAAACCATGATTTATTTAGTTTCGAATGGAAGGCTTTTATTTGATTTTGTGGATATTTTGTTTCCTATGTGTTTCTAGGAAGACATCATTGGTTCCATTTATCTGAAATTCCTAGGCTACCTTTGTTGAGTTTGCAGGAATTAATGGAACACACCACTTTTTAACCTTAAACTAACTTTTTAGAGTTAGGCTTCCTGATATGTTAAGTGTGTTGAGTATACTTTCATAAATAGAATTTGACTCATATTTCTCTCTCTGCCTATTTATTTCAAAATTTGTTACCTATTTGTGAATATTCTTAATTCACAGCTATGTGTTTGTTTGCATACAGTTAAGCAGGACCCCTAAGGCTGCTCAGGGAGAAAGAAGTCAGAAGTCTGACATGCAGGCAAAAGGGTAAGAATTTCTTACCAATCAGACTCTGGCCTCTCAGTCTCTCTCTGTGCAAACTGGTTAAATGAATGGTAAAAGTTACTGTTTATCTGCTTTGTAAAGTTTTGATTACACAAAAAGAATTGTGAGGCTGGTCTTAAGCTGTAATAAATCTGGTGCACTTTATGTGTCTTTCTGTATTGTTCTGTTATAAAGAGGGGTACCTTAGGATAAAATGTGTGCCTAAGATCCCATAGGCTCACTATTCAAGGCATCCCAGCAAACTGATCAGTCACATCCTTGAGAGGTTGACCTTGCGACCACATGGCTATGCTTTCTCTTTTCACAATGGTGGCCTGGGTTTAGGGTTCAATTCTTGGCTTAGGGAATAAGTCCTTTATCTTCTGTCTGTCTGTGTATTTATATGTGTTTGTGTGTAATATAACAGAGCTTTAATTAATAGGTTTAATAATAAGAGTTTACATATTTTGTCAGAAAAGCAAAAAGTGTAATGCCTTTTAATTTTTATGTTTTTTGAGATGGAGTCTCACTCTGTCACCCAGGCTGAAGTGCGGTGGCACAATATTGCCTCACCGTAACCTCCACCTCCTGGATTCAAGTGACTTTCCTGTCTCAGCCTCATGAGTAGCTAGGACTACTCAAGCATGAGCCATGGTGCCTGGCTAATTTGGTAATTTGAGTAGAGATGGAGTTTTACCATATTGTTCAGGCTGGTCTCAAACTCATGACCTCAGGTGATCCACCCTCCTTGGCTTCCCAAAATGCTGGGATTACAGGTGTAAGCCTCCATGCCCAGCCATCCAATGCCTTTTATTTAGTTCATGTGACTTAAGTAATCTTTGGGAAACAAAGACAGTTTTAAAGATTATTGGTAAAATAAAAATATCTTCAAAAATGTAAACATTTGGCTTAAATTATGCAGGTCAGATATTAGGTTTGCTTTAGGTCATAAACTGTTTCTTTGACTTTTAAAAATTGTTCAATTTATTTTGAACCATTAGATTTTAGATAAGGCCTGGGGATGTGTGAAATTAGCTATGCTCCCTAGCTATGCAAAGAAGGTTGTAAAGAAATTTTATATATTCATATTATATATATGAAAGGATCTTATATGGTAAATTCTTGTCCTAAAGTAAAATAATTGGTTCTTTAAAAGAGGGATATTTAGGTCAAGTCAGGAAGTCCAAGCAAGTCATACATGGTCTTTCTATGTCATGAAAGAATTTATGAAAGAGAATTTATGCAAGAAATGTTGTAAAATTTAAAGGTGATTGAGTCACCTAAATGTGTCATCAAATGCCACCATGACTCTTGATTGTAAAACTTGCCTGCTTTACAGTTAGGTAAGGCCTGGGACATATGTAGTTAGACACTGGAAAGAGTCAGACCTTACTAGCACTTCTGTGTGGGTGTTAGGCTCCACACCTTATACATAATTAAAATCCTAAGCTTACCAAAGTTTTCACTAAAAGCAAAAGTTGCTAAAAGTTAACGTTGTAACATGTAATTGAGACTACTGAAGAAACTGTTTTACATGCAAGGTATGTAGGAAGGGTAAAATATGTTTTTGGTAAAATATTATAAGAAGGCATGGGAATGTGGATTTGTGTGTGTGTGTGTGTGCATAAAGTGTTAAAGAATTATTTTGAGTTAAGATAAAGCTAAAGGTTTGAACAAGTTGTGGAAGATTTATAAAAAATCTTATAAAAAATTATGTGCTTGAAATATTAATATATATTCCAAAATTATATGGGATTTCTAAAATTCTAATATGTCTGAGTATATGTTATCAATCATAATTATAGTTATTATGTTAACTGATTGTAAACCACAGAAATAACCAAACTGCCTTGTACAAAGTTACTAACCCAAGTAGGACAAAAAATTAATTAAATACCAAGAAAACATTTTGTCAGATTTTCATGTTAAACCAGCTGATACTGAAATTGTTTAGATATACAATTTGAATGAACTCCATGGTCTAAGTCAAACTATCTATGATAACCCATTAGCTACCGGTGCTATTCACCTAATTTGAAGAAACAACTGATATTCAAGAGGATATAAGTCTAATGTTAATTAAGCATGAACTCATTGAGAACCAGAATGACCACCTTGTCCTTCCTGAGTCCTTCAAGCTTTTATTATTAAAAGTTCTGCATTTCGCAACTCATCGTGGAAAAGATAAAATGATCCAAATTGAATATATTGGTGTGGTGACTTACAAATTGCTAAAATAGTTTATAACCAATGTTCGGTCCCATATTCTTGGGAAAACAATCAAAGCTTCAGGTACATTTGATCACCTGATGGGTCATTTAAACATTTTATAAGGGGATTTCATTCAATTTTTTTTTTCTTTTTCTTTTTCTTTTTTTTTTTTTTGAGGCGGTCTCGAGTCTCTCTCTGCCACACAGGCTGGAGTGCAGTAGCATGATCTCTGCTCACTGCAACCTCTGCCTCCCAGGCTCAAGGGATTCTCCTGCCTTAGCCTCCAAGTAGCTGGGATTACGGGCATGTGCCACCCAACTAATTTTTGCATTTTTAGTAGAGACAAGGTTTTACCATGTTAGCCAGGCTCCTCTGAAACTGCTGGTCTCAAGCTATCAGCCCACCTCAGCCTTCCAAAGTGCAGGGATTACAGGCATGAGCCACTGTACCTGGCCTCAATTGTTATTTTCAATACATGTTTTCTGGTTGTATAAAAGCTTTCCCATGCAAGAGGACTGATGTTATAAAAGTAGATTACTATGCTATGGTGTATTTTCACCAGGTAAAGAAAGCTTTTTATGGTTTGGGTCTTCTGAGAACATCACAGAAAGACTGTCCTTGTCATCCACACTACAGCAAAACTTTGGGATCTTAAACTTTGGGTTTATAATATCACAACTGAGAATGGTCCCTTCACACTCTTGGAACTGTACACGCATTGGAACCCTTAAGGTAAAGCTAACTAGGGAAATTTCTCACCAGAAAAAGATGGCGTCCTTGATGTGAACAGCTTTCCCCAAGATCATGAATCAAGACTTCTGTACTATCATGAGACTCTTAACTTTGAATATTTTTCTTACTTATGCCTCTATGAACAACAGAAGTGGCAAAGGGGTCTGTTATGTGCACTTATGGGGTACATGTTTATTTGTGAAGGAATTCGTAGTCAGTCTTATACATAGATAGATAACCTTGTACTTTGACAGATAAAAGGTGGAAGTCCAATGTAGGCAAGAAACTTTAATGGAACTCATAAATCAATCAGAAACAGAACATTGGTTCACTCCTTAATGCACATCAGGTGTTAAAGAGAACATTGCCAGGAAGCCTTCATTCTTCTAGAGGAGAATTATTAGTTAGGTCCTTTTTCCATGGTTTGGAGTAAAATAAGCAATGATTACAGATGTATCCCTCATGATAGGCTCTATAGCAAACTCTACTGTACAGTCTACAGATACACAACAGAGTTTAAATTCCCTTGTGAAGGTTATGATAGAACTGGCTGAACAGAGAAGTATCTGTGCAGCTGCGGGCCCTTATAGCCTATGGAGAAATATTAGGTATTATAGAGATTCAGCTGTAGCAGATTGAAGGAGACTGCTTAGTTCAGTGAGTAGATTCTTCATGTAGCTCATTCTTTAATCTATTTAATTTCAGGAGGTTTGGTTTATGGGAACCCTGGTAAGGAGCATACTCCAAACTCTTGGTATTATCCTCCTGATAGTCATGATTATAGTCTCCCTGGTGCACTGTATTCTTTCAAATGTTTTAAATGTTTGCCTGTAGCCATCCCTAGAATGTCAGATGGTCTTTCTTCAACTGAAATGACAAGAGCTGAAAGAAATGTGCAACCATGAGGACGCTGTAACCTGTGAATGACGTGCTGAGACAGGAAACCAAAAATGATGGTAACTGAGCGTGGTGCTAAGGCTCCAAGTTTTGGTCACATGCTCCCCGAGAACCTGACCACAAAGGGGTAATTTTTTTAAACAAAATTACTGGGGGCCATTGTTTTAGACTGAGCTTATGCATTAGGCCCCAACAGATCAAACCAAACCAAAATGGAGTCGCTTTTGCTAAGGCCTTACGGAAACACATAGATCCTAGAACAGATCACAGACCAGGTTTTGTTTTTCTCCTGCAAATGTCTATAACACACATTCCTGACAGCATGGGTATCTTCTCCCTGAAGTTCCCATTAAATCTTTTAACCAAATGCATTTCCTCTTACTTAGAGACCATCAAGCTTCAGATGGTGATGCAACGTGGCTTCCAGCCAGTTCCAAGTGAAGAGACTGCCCTGGTCATCAAAGAACTACCCTGCCTCCACTAACCAGAGCAGGGCAAGTGTTCCATGATCCTCAGTTGATAGGGACTACGCCCTAAGCCAGCAAGAAGTGGTTACAGAAGAAAGACCATCTGTTCCTCTGCTTCCTATAAAGATTTATGGGGTCACATCTCTCAGGGGGGAAGTGAGGCAGGAGAATATGGTCTGGAGGCAGGGGACCTAAGGCCAATTCACACTGACTTCCTAGAACTGAATCAAATGAAACACTTCAGCTATGACAGGGAATATCCTATTCATTTGCACAGGGCGTACACCGAGTTAGCAATGGAAACCTCTAGAGGGCATTTAACCCCAGAAAATTATGTAATGGGGTTCTTGAACCCTATACCTGGGCCTGCTCCCACCCTGTGGGGTGTACTTTTATTTTCAATAAATCCCTGCTTTTGTTGCTTCATTCTTTTTGCTTTGTTTGTGTGTTTTGTCTAATTCTTTGTTCAAGACGCCAAGAACCTGGACACCCTCCACCAGTAACACTCCCACCTCCTGGCTTCCTTCCTGGTGCCTTCCCAGTGCCCTGCTTTCACCAGGCCAGGGGACAGGGATAGGGTCAGGGTTCTCCTTTCCTCTTTGTCCTCATTTGTACAAGGAAAGGACAATGCTAACAATGCAACTTCCTCACTAGGTTTTTGTGAAGATCAAACATATCTGGGACATCCAATTGCTTTCAAACATTACCTGCCATTCAGATGGTAGACAGGAATTACTCACTTTATAGTTGTTACTTTTAGTTTCTTTTCCTCTATCATTTCTGGCTACACTTTGCATTAGTTTAAACTGTTTCATCAGCGCCCCCTGCTGAGTGCTAATGAAATAATGACCCAATCCTAATTTGGGATGGATTAGACCTATCGAATAGGGGGCAGAGAATGCCAAAGGATTGACGGACTAGCATCACACCAGTACTGACCAGTCAAAACCACACAGGGCCACGTCCTGGGATGTGCTCCCTGAACCCCAGCCTCTGGAGCGGAGGAAGGAACCCCTCAGTGTGCCAGGCCCTGTGATGGGGATCTAGCTGATTACCTTGGTAACTCTTTCAGCAGGCTCTGAGCTTGTTGGAAATGGGTTGTAAACAGCGTTCATGTCCCCACACTTCTGTGCCGCAACTTGAACATGGTAGGAGTGATTGAATTCAAGGTACCCCAGCTCTCTGCCACCCCAGTTTGAGGGGCAAAACCTTTCCTGCTGACCTACCTTTAGGCCTGGGTGCCTCCACATACATAATAATTTTTTTTTTTTTTTTTGAGATGGAGTCTTGCTCTGTCGTGCAGGCTGGAATGCAGTGGTGTGACCTAGGCTCACTGCAACCTCTGCCTCCCAGGTTCAAACAATTCTCCTGCCTCAGCCTTCCAAAAAGCTGGGATTACAGGTGTGTGACACCATGCCTAACTATAATTTTTGTTTTTCTTAGTAGAGACGGCGTTTTACCATGTTGGCCAGGCTGCTCTTGAACTCCTGATCTCAAGTAATCTACCCACCTCAGTCTCCCGGAGTGCTGGGATTACAGGCATGAGCTACCACACCTGGCCTCATAATCAAGTATTTTTAGTTAAAGCTCTGAGCTCCGTGTCAAAAAAGCCAAGGACTCAGGAGGGGAATATGCCGTGCCCTCATCTGACATGAGCAGTGGCCACACCATGTTCTTGATTTTACCCTGTGCTGAGCAGGGCCCTGGGGGGACAGGTAGGATGCCTGAACAGGAAGGTCAGAGGACTAGGCTGGGTGACCATGAGCAGGTTCCCCAAGGAGGGGGAGAATGCAGACTTGGGCTCTTGGGTGCTTTCTCTGATGAGCTTCTAGATCCCAGGGCAGTGGCCCTTGGCCAAAAGGACAACCGAACAAGTTGAGACAAGTCTCCAGTCTGGGCTGGAGCCTGCGTCAATGTTGTTGGACTAGCATGCTCAGATTCCATTTCTGATTCTGTATGGCTGATCTTGTGCTTTCCATTCTCTGCATCGAACAGTGTATTTATGGGCTCTGGAATCAGACAGACTTGTTTTTAAATGTAGAATCTAGGCTGGGCATGGTGGCTCACGCCTGTAATCCCAGAGCTTTGGGAGGCTGAGGTGGGTGGATCACTTGAGGTCAGGAGTTTGAAATCAGCCTGGCCAACACGGTGAAATCCTGTCTCTACTAATACAAAACTTAGCCAGGCATGGTGACATGCACCTGTAGTCCCAGCTACTTGGGAGGCTGAGGCATGAGAATTGCTTGAACGTGAGAGGTAGAGGTTGCAGTGAGCCAAGATCACGCCATTGCACTCCAATCTGAGCGACAGAGAGAGACTCTGTCTCAAAACAAACAAACAAACAAAAAAGTAGAATCTGTCACTTGTTGGCCGCAGGACCTTGGGAAAATTACTTAACCTCCCTGAGCTTCAGTTTTCTCCTCTGTAAAACAGCTTTATAATATAGTGAGAATTAATAAGTCAATACACAGACACAATGTGTACATCTCAGTGCCTGGCACCAAATAACCTGTCATTTCATCAGCAAGTTTTATTTTTATTGCAAAATATAACCAAATTCCTACTTTTCTTCCTATCTCCCCTGCTACCATCAAGCCACTCTCATCTCCCTCCTGGTTTATGGCAAGGACCTCCTAATGGATCTGTCTGCTTCTGCTCTGGCACTCACAGTCAGGGCAATCCAGAACCCATGTCACCTCCACGTAAAGGCCTCTAACTGGCTTCCTGCTGCGACTGGAGTAAAGCCCGCAGCCCTGACAGTTGCTTATCCAGCCAGCCTTGATGCTCTCAATTCTCCCCTCAAGCTGCTGCCAGCTGCGCGTCCTGCTGAGCAAGCCAAGCTCACTCACTCCTTGAAGTCTTTGCACTGAGATTTCCTCTCTTGGAAAAGGTTCCTCAGGTCCCTGCAGGGTTGGCTTCCTCCCTTCGTTGAGGTCTCAGCTCAATCGTGAGAGTGGCGCCCACCCTTACCACCTCTGCTGGCACCCCCCAAAATCTCCACTGTGCTCCCATGTGCCCTCTTCATAGCATCGGCCAGCTCCTCACTTACTTAGATGCCCAGCCACCAGTTTACTGTTGGCCCTCCTCAGAGACGGCCACCTCCATGACCACAAAGACCAAGGTGGTCTGTGGTCATGGCTCTTTCCCCAGACCTTGTCCCCGGTCCTGGACACAGGAGACCCTCTAAACTATTTATTGAACTTTATTTTACTTTTTAAAATCATTTATTTATTTATTTTAGAGACAGGGTCACACTCTGTTGCCCAGGCTGGTCTGGAACTCCTGGACTAAAGTGATTCTCCCATCTCAGCCTCCCAAAGTGCTGGGATTACAGGTGTGAGCCATCAGACCTGGGCTACTGAATAAACATTATTTTTAAATTCTATAAAACACCAGGTTGAAAGTTATTTTATCAGAGGGGAAGATGTGAAGGTAAAGGCAACTCCTTGGTGGCTGCTGAAAACCGCTGCTCCTCAGACTTCTGTGTCTGAGTTTGCCCTCTGCTTTCCTCTTGTGGGGGCCCCTCTCACCGCCACCGCCACCCACCGCCCCCGACGCCACCCCCCCCCCCCCCACCAACCCCCACCCCCGCCGCATAGAGAATCAAGCGGGTGCGGGGCAGGGAGAAAGGAACGGGAGTGCCTAAGCAGCGCCCTCTGGTGGGCGCAAACTCCTTGACAAGGAGACCTGGAATCCCTGTCCACAACTCCATTCTAGCAAGGTTTCCCCTAGTTTGCCCCTCTTGTCCGATGGGAACTCAAGTTTGTGCCCTGCCTATGCAGTCACTTGCCACCTTGTATTGCAGTCATCTGGCTGTCCCATGTGGAAAGCCACTGGGGCCGGGGCTGGCTCTGGTCCATCTCTGGGTGCCCCATGGGTAGAACTGTGGTGTCTCTGCCAAACACCCGGCTTTCACGTGTCTGTGGGGACGAATCCTGCATGCTGAGACCCAGGGGCCTACTCCTTGGGCTGAACTAATCCTTTGAGTCACGCAGCATGCTGTTGGCTTTGTCTCCGAGTTTTATTATTCTTGTCATCTCTCACCCCATCCCCTAGAGAAAGGGCTTCCCACCAAACGGCTTAGTCCCCTGCCAGGGCTAAGCAGGCTCCCTTGGCAGGTCTATCAACCAAGTTACTATATGCAGCCTTTTTTCCTTCTTTCTTTTCTTCCTTCTCTCTCTTTCCCTCCCTCCCTCCCTCCCTCACTCCTGCCTTCCTCCCTCCTTCCTCCTTCCCTTCCTTCCTCCCTTTCTCCCTTCCTTCCTCCCTTTCTCCCTTCCTCCCTCCCCTCCTCCCTCCCTTCCTTCCTTCTCCCTTCCTCCCTTCCTTCCTTCCTGCCATCCTTCCTTCCTTCCTTCTCTCCAGTGGCATGAAGATTGCCACAACCTCCACCTCCCGGGTTCCAGCAATTCTTCCACCTCAGCCTTCAGGGTAGCTGGGACTATAGGTGTGCGCCACCATGCCCAGCTACTTTTTTGTATTTTTGGTAGAGATGGGGTTTCACCATGTTGCCCAGGCTAGTCTCAAACTCCTGAGCTCAAGCAATCCTCCAACCTCAGTCTTCCGAAGTGCTGGGATTATAGGCGTGGCCCACCGCATCTGGCCTCTTCTTTCCTCCCTCCCTCCCTCCCGCCCTCCTCCTCTCCCTTGCTTCCTCCCTCCCTCCTTTTCTCTCCCTTCCTTCCTTCCTTTTCTTTCTTCCTTTTTTCTTCTTTCTTTCTGTTTCTTTTTCTTTTGTCCTTCCCTTCCTCCTTCCCTCCCTCCCTCCCTCCCTCCCTCCCTTCCTTCCTTCCTTCCTTTCCTTCCTTCTTTCTTTCTCTTTCTTTTTCCTTTCAACTCAGATCACTCTGTGGAGAACAGGAAGCAGACAGAGTTTGGGACAGGACCTCTGAGTAGAAGTCCCAGGTCCTGCCACCTACTCTCTGGACATTATTTTCCCTGGCTGTGAAATGGGCTGATGCCAATCCCTGCCCTGCTGTCCTCACAGGAAGGCTGTGAAGAGCAAGTGAGGTATGGTATGAAATGGAAGATCCATGTCAACTTTAAAATGTGGCCCAAACCTGATTATGCAGTAAGGTCATCTGGGTTTGCTTGTTTTGAAAAACTGAAAACTATGACTTCCTACTCCTACTGCACACACACGGGGAAGTTCTAAAAGCATGTGATGTTGAAGTCAAATTCTGGAACATTTGGGAAAAACTTAGATTTCTGGGCCTTTCTGATGCTCGGTGAAGGCTTGTGTTTTGAGCCATGCTGCAGGCAGCACGGAGCAGGCCTCAGCCTCTGCCGTCTTCACAGGGCACCCTCCCCTAATGAAGAAGTCTTGGGATCTCCTCTGTTGACTGGTCTTACGGCTGGGGAAGAGAGCAGACTCAAAGGTGGGACTTGCCCCCCACAGGCAGCAGGGCTGTGGTGGGCTGGGTG